CACTTCGCCTCCATCCATTCGGAAGTATCAGAGCTGGAGCTGAAGAAGGATTTGAGAGATTAAACAGGTTTGACAATTAGGCGGTAACAGTGAAAGACAGTAGATGTGAGTGACAAGTACGCTCCTCCCTTTCAGAATGCCATTTGATGAGTTAAAGCGGGTGTGCAAAGGAAGTACCGAAACTTGCGAAAGTGGAAGTAGGGTAGTTAGGGTCAAGGTTTACAGACCGTGCATTGGAAAGGAGAAGCTGGATCGATAAAACAAAACCTCTTTCCACAGAGAAAATCCAAAATCACAAAGCACTTGACCGGCCATCAACACACACAAAATAAAAAACACACGGAGTGGGGGCTTTGATGACCACTAAGTTTACTTTCCCAAAGAACAGTCAAATGTGAAGCGGTACAAAGATGAGAGTAAGAGAGAGAAATGATAAAGCGAGGGCACTCAGAGCAGTTGACATTGCAGTGATGATCGGCTACGGCGACAGCACCGACGCCTACTCCTGCATCTGGCTGACTACGCTCGAGTTGATTGCGTTGACGACATCGCGGGTGGTGTAGGTGCCCCCAATGTCGGGAGTGCGCACGTTCTTCGTCGAGACGGCATCCACGATGGCGTTGCGCAGGATCCTCGACTTCTCGTACAGACCTGTAGCCGAGGAAGAGGCAAAGGTCTTGTCATGTGAAACAGCACTATTGTATCTTCTAGTTGGGAAAAAAGTCCTAATCTAGGAACTACAAAATGTTTGAATAGAATCGTTTTAATAACGACTGTATAGAACTTTCAAGGAGACATTAGATAATTATTCCCGCGTTGCAAGTGTAATAGCCTAAGGCGATCATAGTGAGAGAGGTGGGGATATGAACAACTCCCAAGGCATTCAGGTGAATGAACTCTTAACCTCATCTTTTTACACTTGAGTGGCTCGGTTAAAATAAAAGTGCGTTCGTAAAAAGTCCTGACAACTACTCGGGATTTCTGGTGCAAGACTCTATAACAAATCCTCCTGTAGATGAGTTACAGTTCCTAAAGAAGATTACAAACACTTATGAGAGTGAAAGGTCAAATGTCATGACAGGTACTTTTTGTGGAGACACAAGACGGATGGTAAAGTGATTTCGGAGAAGAGTTACATTTCGGCACAATCTAGTCAATTAGACATTTTGAGTGGTTTGGTGTCTGAAGGGAAGTCATGATTTGATGAACAAACCACTAGGGGTCTAAGCCATCCGACAACCCGGAGATTAGTCAATTGCCAACCCAAATGGTCCAAAAGATCCGCCGACGCTAGCAGCATAGCCACGGGATTGGCAACATTCTGTCCTTTCAGCGATTGCGCCTGCTTTCGTATGGCGGCCTCAAAGATGGCATACTCCTCGCCTAAATTTATGCCTGTGGCCAGACCCGCACCACCCACCAACCCCGCGCACAGAGCGCCCACAATGTTGCCATAGAGGTTGGGCAGCAGCATCACGTCGAACTGCTGCGGCCGTCTGACCAGCTGCATGCAGCAGTTGTCGACGATTATTGAGTCAAACTGAATCTGCAATCGGCAAATAAAGAGGCCATTTCGACGTTTGAGAGCAGCAGTTATTTTAATGGTGCAAAAATGAGGTAAAACCACAACTCACGGTGGGATAGAGCTTAGAGACGTCTTCACAAGTCTGGAGAAAAAGACCATCGCTCAGTTTCATGATGTTTGCCTTGTGCACTGCCGTGACCTTCTTGCGTCCATGTTGGAGAGCGTAGTTGAAGGCGAAGTGAGCTATTCTGTGAGGCAGTAGAATGACTCCAAGTGAAATAAAAGGTCGTACTTAACGGCCTCCACGAGTTGTGGTTAAGTTTTGGAGATATGGCAGAAAGGCTATGCCTATTACTTCCCAGCCCTTCAATGCACTAACAAGAACCGATAGTATGGCTTTAAAGAAAGCTCAAGGTCCACATCAGCTAACATATTTGGTAGTTAAAAAAGTTTGATGCTTTATAAGTTAAGGCCGTATTTTAAAAGCGCCATCACTGGCTCAGTGGTATGCACTACATCTGTTCTTCCACACGAATGTATGAAACCGGAAGAAACGGATTAGTACAACCTGGATGAATTGATAAACAGATGGATGAGTAGGCTAACCAATTCATGAGGCCGTAAGCATTGATGAATGAAGGAATGAAAAAGACGACAAGCAAATCTCTTACTTAGCCGATTTGTTACGTGTGATTATCTTCATGGACTCCACAACGCCAGGCACGCTTTCGTGTTCCAGCTATGGAAAATGGAAACTGAGCATTCACTTCACACACACAGGTAGGATGAAGGAGCGAAAAAAGCACTGACAGTCAGCTCCCACCTGACTATATTCGCCTTCGCTGTTCTCCCGAATAACCACAATATCAACATCCTTGTGACGGGTTATCACACCGGGAAAACTGTAGCAGCGTTGCACGTAGGCAAAGAGTTCCAACTCGTTTCGGATCATTAGATTATGTGATTTCATGCCTGCAAAGGGGGATTCCGATTCGATTATCAAAGACTATGAAAACCATGAACAAGAGGTGAGCGAGATTGAGACGGATTGACCGAAGGACGGATCAGGAGTGGGTGAAGTGATACTGTGAGTGCTCCTCAGTAAACAAAAGAATTTTAAAAGAGCAGAAAAAAAAAGGAAAAAAGGAGCGCAAGAATAAGCAACTACCACCGCTTTTAACTTACAAAGGCTAATAGAGACAAAGGTGAAAGAATGTAGGCATAGATAGAAAACTTTCCTCCCACTCACCTGGAATCGTCTTAAGGCTGCCCTTCAACGCCACACCATTCCTCCGTACCGCCATGATCGCTTCTCGCACCACCTCCTCATTGGAGTTATTGTCGATTGCAACCTCATCGAATTCAACCGGCACCCCAAGCGTATAGTAGACAGACTTTACATGCTCCATCATCTCAGGACTCACCCCATCGCCGGTGAGCATGGCAACGGTGTGCCGACCGCCATATTTGGCACGCGGCAGGGAGACACGTGCGCCCTGCGGCAGCCCCAGCGTCGAGGGTAGCGGGGCATAGGGACGCTCTACCTTTGTCTGCTGAGATATTGTCAGGGTGTCTGTGGCTAGTGCTCGCAGTAAAGTCGCCTAAAGTGGGATGGAAAGAATGGGTCGGTTACTGTTATGTTAGTGTGTAATACGTTGTTTCCACCGAGTAGTAGACAGAAAACCATATAATTTAAGGAACTTCTCGATCAAGTACTGTAAGGTAACCAGATAAAACCGACTATTCAGTTTATTTTAAAGTAAGCACAGTACTTCCCGTGTAACAATCACGAGACCAAATCAATGCGTTTAATTCCTATGAACTTTCCTAAAAAAGACGTCTTTTAGAGCAACACAATAAACACGACCTTCTAGATGCAATCTGAGAGATTGATAATCAGAGTTTACCTCTACTGTCAGGTATTAAGCATAGCTACGGAGTTGAAAAAGCAAAAGAAAGCTTCTCAAACCAATTCATCCCTATCACCCGTTGGTAATCATAGGCAATCACAACAAAAGCTTTTCAACCCAATTCTATTTCCATCGAGGAGAAGCAAGTACATTAATGTGTCTTGTAAGGTGGTATTTACTCGATTGCTTACCATATCTAGGCCTTCGTCACAAGGCAACCATGGAGTCCAGTCAATAAAATAAATTTACTAACAAGGTTTGATCGTTTTTAAGGTGGTGTGGATTAAACATATATCTACATTTGTAAGTCTTATTGCTTCACCATCAAGTTGTGTATTATTACACTAATGTTAGATCACGCCCCAATAGTTTAAAGAGTAATCAAATCTTCTAATTTTTTTCTTAACATGCAGCCAATCTAGTCGTTTCTCAAAAATGCGCAATTTTTGGGGTAGAATGTTCAACACATTCGGAACCACAGGCTAAGGAGATAAAGCGGTGCAACAGCACAGTGATGATGGGTCATGTGACCCGGTGTAGGGTTTCTTAATCTAATCATGTTTCTGTCAAGAAGGTTGGATTACTACGTAGTCTTTCGCCTCGTAATGTCCTCGCCATCAAATACGATTTGAGGAAACAAGAATTGCTAAATGAATCACCGCTACCACTTTTCTTACTACCTCTGCTCTAATGCAATCGTCACAGGGAAATCTGAGGTGAGGATTGTCAAATTTCCCTGGTATGAGTAATTCCAGTAATTAACATTAGTAAATACATGCAAAAGGCAAAGCTACTTACAGAAAGGCCCCAATCCCAGCGAAGAAGGCGTGATGCTTTCTGCAAAGTGATCATGCCGTGTAAAAGTCCCACTGTACGCAAAACAAGCTGCTTTTTAGATCCAAGGTAAAATTGCGTGAGATTAAGCAAAACGTTTCACCCGACTAGGCATAAGAAAATAATGATTTAGGATACACGCATTTTAGTTGTTCAGTGACTCGTGCCAAGCTTGCCAAAAATGGGAGAAAATAAACAAGTCCAAGCAAGTGTAAAACGGGGGCATCAAAATGGTAAATACTATGAAGTGAATAAAACGCCAAACTATACTTGGGAAGAAATATGGAAAATAGCGGCAAAAGGGCGCTTATGAACACTGTTATGTGCAAGGAAGATCCAGTCAAGATTTACGAATTATTCATGAGAAACGTATAGAAGTTTTGGCTAACAAGTAAAAGCATAAACTAAAGGAAGTAATTAACGAATATTGGTTAAAGGCGCTCCTAAATGTGAAACGGATAAGAATGGAGGCAGATGAAGATAATCCACATCTTCGCGACCAGAAGGCCCAACGTCTATTGGATAGTATTACACTTCTTAGGCTATTAGATAGGGAATGAAATATGTTTTTTTTTACTAAGTTAAATTTAGCTTCATTATCTCAGGGATGTAAGAAATAAGCTACTACATAAATATGCGTTTTTCAAAATTTTTTTAAGTTTAATTAAAGCACTTAAAGGGAGATGGTGGCAGAAGAGGAAAAATTGGTCCACCTGAAAGCCACTAATTAATGGGTTTGTCGTTTAATTTCAGTCAATATTTAAAAAATTAAGGAATAAACTGCTTTCCACTAATAAGTCTTTTTCAAGTGTCTCTTGAGATAAAGTAATCTTTGGTACAAAGGACTGGTATTTTATAGATATGCAGGCATTTTATACTTAAGAAAATTGCATAAAATTAAAACAGAGGTGTTATTGTAATACGATAGTGGTTTATCCCTCGGTTCTGATGAGGCGCCACTTTTGTACTTCGAATTA